TGTTATATATATATATATATATATATAGAGGACACCTCTTTTATACTCCCGGGTGTACATACTCCCACCTATTAACAGTTTTTTTAATTGGATATTCCCGTGGATAAGTAGCACACCGGCCGATTGGTAGAAATTAACTGTAGCCAATTTTTTAGGGTCCACGGAACTACTTTCTTCGAGCGTGCATGCATGTGCTTCATCCTAGAATTAAGGGATCAAAAACCAGATACCCTTTTTCACGAAAAAAAACCCAGCTACCTTTATCTACACGTGTGTTCCATTCATATACTCCAAGTTTTCTTCAGAAGCCATTCATATAGTCCATAGAAGAATATATCTTCGACTTGAAAGGAAGTAGTATAAGTACGTTCGAAGTATACGAATTTGCTGAGCTTGCATGCATTGTTTATTTCATATAGTATGTCATACATATATACTAATTTTTATGAAGTATATACTATTTCTTGAGGGAGCACACATATACCACATTTTTGGGATGAAGTATATACCACTTCCTTGTGAACTTGTGATGGATATACCATATATTATGGGTTGGAGTATGTACCATATATTTTGTGATGGAGTATATATCATTTTTTGGTCATGGGTATATTTTTTGCCATGGAGTACATACAAATTTTTTTGTTGGAATATATACCACATCTTTTCAATGCAGTGTATGCCTTATTTTCTCTGATGAGTACATACAAATTTATGGTGAGTATATTCATTACAATGGAGTATATACCATATCTTTTAGATGAGGTATATACACTATTTTAGCGATGGAGTGTACATAGTAACCTAAAAACAAGTACAATTTAATTCTAAAAGAAGTAGAACAAAATAAAAAAGTATAATTCATTATGAATGCTGCCATTTTCCCACTCAAATACAACACTTAAAGCTATGTATGTGTATCACATGCGACATCGATCAATCTTGGCCGGAGTTCCACGGTGGCGTAGACTGCGGAGTGTCTTGAATCATAAGTATTTTGGGTAGCATCTGTCGATCTTGATTAGAGTTTCACGTTGGCCTGTGAAGATGACTCGCCAATCTGGTTCAGATGAGGTGAAGCTTCAACGTAGTCATGTGGAGCATTGGAGCGGACGTCATCTAGATCCATCACGAATAGTATAAATTAATTAGTACTACTCCCTCTCTCTCGGTTTACAGGGCGTGCGCGTACCCCTAGATCGTTAATTTGACCAACTTAATACAAGTCATATATTACAAAAAATATATCAATATAAACTTCAGATGTTCTATTTTTAAAAGATATAATTTTTATGTTACATAGTTTATATTAGGGTGATCAAATTGACAACCTAGGTATACGCGTAGGACTTGTAAACTGAGAGGGAGGTAGTACAAGGGATGCAAGTAATCACATTATGCATGCTTGTGTAGGAATTAATCGTCAGACATGCCATACCTTGCCATGATACATGCCGATATGAATAACATGCATGCGAGGCGCTCCATCGTGCATCATGATCCAGGTCCATACCTCGGCGGCTTCTCGTCTCCATCGGCGAATGGCCGCCAGATGCATCCGCCTCCATCTTCTAACTGCCACGCGTCGAGTCATCGCCAGCTGCATCCTGTCTCCCCTGTCGAGCCGCCGCCGGTCACTTCTTGTCTCCTAGTCCAGATCAATGTGCTCATCAAGCCTTGTTTGTAACGTGAATGCTTTAATGGAAGAAGAAGAAACAAATATCCTAATATGCAGCCAACAATTGCACGTGGCTTATCCCTATTAATATGGAACAACTTTTCAAACGCTATGTGATCTCTTCTCTTCCTGCGACAGTACCATATATATTTAAATAACTAACTAACAAATTAAGCGCTAAACGGTTTTTGTTAGTGAGAGTCAAAACACATCGGTGGGAATAAAAGGCTACACGTGGCCTAGGAGTATGTACTCCTAGGTGTACCAACCCATTTTTCTATATATATATATATATATATATATATATAATAGTCTAAAGTATAAATAAAAGTAAAAACAGAAAGCAAAAAATGAAAAGAAAAAAGTGAGAAAAAAACAAAATAGAAACAGGTTGGAGTTTCTTGCGCCCGTGTAATCTAGTGTTCATTCATATATAGAGTGGGTCTGATGGGCCAAGTTGGGCCTTGAATAGCATAATGGCTTTAGATTCCTTATTATTGCATAGTATAGGTGTACCTTTTAAACATCTGGACAAAAGAAGTGGACCTTTTGACGAACTTGGCATCTCTCATTAAAAAAATCCCCTAAATTCGTGTAAATTTTGGTGATGCTAGCTTCCACTGTGCACCATGTACATGATGTACTTGTAATAAAGTAGCCCATGCTCTTGCAGCTTTGGGTTGTAATGGGCTATAGGCATGAACCCAGTCGCTTGTGGCCTGCGTGTGCACCTGATGATGTGTTGATGATTCTGGCCAATGGTTTGGCTATGCCTACTGCGTAATGGAATGCATGATTCCATCTAAAAAAACATCCTCTAAAGATGTGTTTGGTTTCAGAAACCAACTGGAATGTAACGGGTCGGACCCGTCCCTGACCCATGTTCTAGTGTTTGGTTTGTAACTGGAACCAAACCCACTCTTCCCATCCACCGAATATTCCGCTCAGATCCAGAACCAAGCGATCTCTCCAAATCGAGCGGACCACGCGGAACCGTCGCTCGTGCCTCCTCTCTCGCACGAAGCCCTCTCTCTCGCGTGCTTGAGGCACTCTCGATCTGCTCTCTCCCTCGATCCGTGCCGTCGGCCGGTCCCTCCTTGGATCTGCGCCGCCGGACGCTCCTCTCCTGGATCCGCGTCGCTGGCCGGTCCCTCCTTGGATCTGCGCCGCCGGACGCTCCTCTCCTGGATCCGCGTCGCCGGCCACTCCTCTCCCTCGTCTCCTCCTGAATCGGCTGACGGGCGGCGGGCAGCGGGTGCACGGGGCAGGCGGGCGACGAGCGCGAGTGTGCAGTTCTTAGGCGGCAGCAGTGGGGCGACGGGTGCGCAGCCGACGCAGGGAAAAGGGTTACAGCGGAGGCGGCGGGTGCGGGGCCAAGGCCAGGAAGACGGCCGGCAGCGGGGACGGCAGGTGCGGGGCTCACGCCGGGAAGAAAAGCGGTGGCGTCCAGCGCTCGAACGACAATTGGAGAGCATGTGCATGGCGGCCGATGTGGATTGCACCGGCGAGTGTGTGACCAAGGCCGGGAAGAGGGGCGCTTCCATCCAGTGCTCAGGCAGCAGCCATATATGCGAGCGACGGTGGCCGCCTTCCAGTGCTCAGGCGGCAACCTTTTGCAATTGTTCTTGCCTATATTTGTTGACATTCGTGACAAATTTTGATGTCAATGTGTACATGCTTGTTCTTTCCTTTTACATTTTGTCAGTAATGTCAATAAATATACGAATATGATTGCGTATATATAGACTACTATGTCGTATATCTGGAATGTTGTGAAGCAAATTACAAATCAAATGTTATTTTGGAATTTAAATGAAATGCTACTAAACATACTATCAATTTTGAACAATTTTCATTCCATTCCATTCCATCAACCAAACACTGAGACGGAACCATTCCATTCCACTCTATTATTATACCAAACACAGAGATGGAACCATTCCATTCCAATGGAACGGAACCATGACATTCCATGACACTTCGTTCCCGAACCAAACACACCCTAAGGAACCAACCGAAACAAATTAGAGGAGACGTGAAATTCATGATCAGTGTCTACTCTGCCTCACAAAAGCTCATATTGACCAAGAGACACGCACAAGCAATTAGGGTTTGCTCGCCTCCCGTTGGCGGCGCCGCTGACCTGCCACGCTTCTGTGGCCTTCGGGCCATGGAGACGGAGTGGATCTCAGCTCCTGTCGACGGGAGGGCTCCATTTTCTGGTTTTAGGGTTAAGGTTTGGTGGGACGGCGCTTAGGTGGTGGTGGCGGCGTCTTGTCCAATAAAGTCTCCCCGACTTCAGCACCATCTCGACGGCGACGTCGAGAAGCTCGTGGGAGTGGTGTGGTTCTTGAAGACTTCTTCTGGCTGTGGGTATCTCTGGATCGTCAATGAGCTTTATCGACGGTTCTTCCTCCATCTTCGGGACGGATGTGGTCTTCTTGACCCGTTCGGCGACTTTCCGTCCTCATCCAACTACGTCAGGTCGACACGGTCTGGAGGTTGAAGACGAAGGGCATCTCAAAGATTTCATGGTAATTTTCATTTTTGTTGAGGTGCTTTGTACTGTCTGGTGTTTCTTTTAATGCCAGGGTCCTTTTCGCAAAGAAAAAAAAAGAGTCTACTCTGCCTCTGGGTGATTTTGCTGATCGATAAGTTGCTCTGGTCCTGTCTAGCCTTGACTTGGCAGGTATGCAGCAGCACAAATACATAGGACGAAGTCTCGGATTTCACCAGCAAGGGGTACAACGATAATAAGTGTCGAGGGTGTGTCTGGCAAGAGGTTCTTGATACCCATAGAATTTGTGGGTGGAGAGCGACGACGAGGCTTTATCCCCTCGGTCAGGGCTCTGAAATGCACTTGACAATTGTTCAGCGACAGAATTGCGTATGTATAGCCCCGATTCTTTGTGAAATTTGATAGAAGAATACGCTGGCTGTGTCATCCTAGCTTGGTTAAGGCCGTTTCTCTCCTCTGAAGGGGATCGCACAAGTGCCCCCCTTCTTGTAGCTTCTGCGTTCTGACCACGTAGAAATCGCGTGACGTTCATCTCTAGCTCCACAGTCTTCCTACATTTTAAAAGGCTATCCTCACTCACGCCGAGCGCACGGCAGCTTCTCGCTGGAGGCCGGAGGCAGCGTGTGCCCCCACCCCAACCTGACCACGCACACGCGGCTTCCCGCCGTTCGTTCCATTGCCGTTCAGACATCAATCAAACACCAGTACGCCTTCGCCCCTAAATTCACCGACCGCTCTCACTCGCAGCAGCAGTCTAACCAACCAAAGAAAACCATCGTCACAGCGCCCCCCCTGGCCCCTGCAATGGCAGCCGCCGACATCCGCCTCTCCGTCGCCCACCAGACGCGCTTTGCACTCCGCCTCGCCTCCGCCATCTCCTCGCCCTCCAACGCCGACGGTGCCGCCGGCAACGCAGCCTTCTCCCCGCTCTCTCTCCACGTCGCGCTCAGCCTCGTCGCCGCCGGCGCGGGCGGTGCCACCCGCGATCAGCTGGCCGCTACACTCGGTGCCGAAGGGCCCGGCGAGGCGGAGAGCCTCCACGCGCTCGCCCAGCAGGTGGTGCAGCTGGTGCTCGCCGACGCATCGGTCGAGGGCGGTCCGCGCGTCGCGTTCGCTAACGGCGTCTTCGTCGACACGTCGACGCCGCTCAGGTCGTCCTTCAAGGAGGTCGCCGTTGGGAAGTACAAGGCCGAGACCCACTCCGTCGACTTCCAAACTAAGGTGATGATGTGCATGTGTCCGATGCTGTTAATTAGTCGTTCTGTTCGGCATCAGTTGTACAGTACTACCGTTTTTTTATGTGATTCTATTTTACAGCAGAGATGCTTTATGAAAATGTTGCTAATGCTGTTTTTATTTTGGTGAAACTACAACTAAATTATGTACAACATTTATGATTTTGAGAAGTGCACAAACTATTTAACGACGCGTTTGGTCTTGTCTTGGTCCAGGCTGCTGAAGTTGCGTGTCAAGTGAACACATGGGTAGAGAAACTCACATCAGGTCTCATCAAAGAGATCCTACCGGATGGATCTGTCGACAGCACCACTAGACTTGTTCTTGGCAATGCCCTTTATTTCAAAGGAGCATGGACAGAGGAGTTTGATGCATCCAAGACCAAAGACGGCGAGTTCCACCTTCTTGACGGGAGCTCAGTACAAGCATCATTCATGTCTAGCACAAACGAGCAGTATCTTTCGTCTCACGACAACTTGAAAGTACTCAAGCTTCCTTACCGGCAAGGCGGGGACATGAGGCAATTTTCCATGTACATACTTCTCCCAGAAGCAAATGACGGTCTTTGGAACTTGGCCGGAAAGGTGAGCTCGGAACCAGAGTTCCTAGAGAAGCATACCCCAACTGAGAAGGTCCTAGTCAGAAATTTCAAGCTTCCCAAGTTCAAGATTTCGTTTGGATTCGAAGCTTCCAGTTTGCTCAAAGGTTTGGGACTGCATCTCCCATTTAGCTGTGAAGCCGATCTTTCGGAGATGGTGGATTCAGCAGCGGAGCAGAATTTGTACATCTCCTCAGTTTTCCACAAGTCCTTTGTTGAAGTGAATGAAGAAGGAACAGAGGCTGCAGCCGCAACGGCTGCAGTGGTTATGCTAATGTCACTGCCATTAGACCCGCCAATGGAGATGGATTTTGTCGCAGATCACCCATTCCTGTTCGTGATCCGAGAAGATTTGACTGGTGTGGTGTTGTTTGTTGGCCATGTGGTCAATCCTTTACTTGCAGCATAGTGCATCTGCTTTTGAACCAGCGAAAGGGCTTATGTCGCATGCGAGTAAAGAGTTTTACCATGAAATCTTCCTATCATTGAAGTAAACCTATGCAGTGTCTGGTTTCGAAGTATGACTTCATTTACGTATTTCGGTTTTGGATTTGTGGCTTGGTTGATGTACATAATGTGTTTTGAAAAAAAATGTATGTTTCTGTCTTCTTAAGTTGTCCCCAGTTAATACTTTTTTTCTTTTGGAAAGGAGGATAACCCCGACTTCTGCATCAAGCGATACATGAAGCCATTTTATTATATTATTCAACGTAACTCGACAAAACAAGTACATCGATCAATCTGAAGCCACCTTCCACGCAACCATAGTCGCTACTCGCTACTCGTACAAACTTGATGATGTGCCCCGGCTTCGCATCAACACACATCATCTAATCAGATGGCCTCACTAAGCCGCCCACCGGCCAGCCGTGAGCACCAACCAATCTAGCAAACCACCACGCGCTGCATGCACACGCTATAGAATCGGCCGCCGCCATCTTCCGCTCTTCCACCTTTAGGAACGATCGACAAATTCACCTTGTCATGTCATACTGCCGTCGACGCCAAACATTACCACCACCTGCGCGTGTCCGTCGCCAAGGTTCTGCTGCACCACGCCGCTGACACCTGCCATCGTCGCTACTGTAGATGCAACACCGCTCCTCCTTTTGTCCCCTCTGGTCAGCACCTGCTCCATGACGATGCTCCCAAAAGGTAGGGCGACCCCGAAAGCCCCGTCATTGTTTGGTCCGAGAGTCCTAGATCTAGGGTTTTCCCTAGAGCAGTCAGAACAATGTGGCTACGAATACAACCGACAATGCCTTTGACAAGGATACGACGTCCAAGATGTCGTCATCGTCTTCCATGACTGAGGTCAACATGGTTTTCACCGGCATTCGTGTCACTCTGAACCAGCAACTGCCCGGATCCATCAGAACGCCGATAGGGAACCACCATCCCTTGACAACCCCTCGCCGCGCCGCCGGCCGTTCACATGTAGAAGCGACGACCGATCTCGGTTGGATCCAGATCCATGGTCGCCGCCGCGCCCGCCGTCGCCGGAGAACCCACGGGTTCCCACCGGCCATGGGGGCAAGATACGCCGCCCTGGCCACTGTGTGTGTGCTCCCCAATGGCCCCGCCCTAGCCGCTCCACGGGGTTCGTCGCCGCGTCCATCACCTCAGCCCTTCGACGCAGGGCCTGCCGCCACCGCGGCCTACGACGGCGTCAACAACGGCAAGGAGGGCTGCGATGTGGACTTGTTGCTGGCGGCGCTAGGGATCTCCCCCCGGCGGCGCCCTGGGAAGGCGTCGCGAGGGGGTCATGAGGGGTATGTTTCCCTCGTCTTGAGATCGTGCCAAACCCGTCTATAGGTTATATTTGATCCCTCAACTTTTTCTATATATACTCGGTAACTTCCCGTGCGTTGCAACGGGAGAACAATAGTCATGTGTGCATATGTGATATATTTAGGTCATGCTTTAAAAAATAAATCAACCAAGAGCTCTTTACCCTCCTATTGCTACAGTGTAAAACATGTGCAATACATGTATTACTTGAAATAGACATACATAGATTGTATATATTTAAATGCACATGCATTGCTACGGAGAACAAAATAATATGATTACCAAAAATGCAACTTCCTCATTTCCTAATAAATCTGGAGCACCTTGTTCCACCATGAACTATCTTTTCACTTAAGAACCAACAAAACCTATTTTATTGTTACAATCAAATGGCATCAAAGTACTAATAAAATAGTCCTTCATATCTACTTTCTTATTCATTTTCGGTGAACAGATTATGATAAAAAACAGCATTATTCAACTCCTTCGCATCTCTGAGGCAAAAGATGAAACCACGGTAATTACCCAATTCAAGGGCGAAGAAGATACATAATTTAGTTCATCGCATATCTGCATGAAAAGAATTGTCATGGTTAAACTGTACAAAACATTGCATCGCTGCATCTGCAGTTGTGCCCACTATGATCTTTTCTCTAACAAAAAAAATATTGAATAGCAACTTTTCAGGAAAGTCTACGTGGGGGCAACATGCACTCTCCAAGGTCACTGCTGACACAGTGTATTCCCTTAACTTCCTTCCATCTTCACATAACTCGTCAACTTCATGTTTTTCTCTCCATAGCTTACAAAAAGAATTAGCTTACCTTTCCTCTTTGCTGAAATTTTGAGAACGAAAAAAGAACATTTAGAATGGTTATTTTAAAACTACCAAAAACAATAGATGTGTGGTGTGTGACGTGATTTGTGACTAAGAGGCATTCAAAATCATTGTTGCATGCTCAAGGCGGCCATGAAATGTTCAGCAATCAACCTATGAAAAGAACAAGAACTTGATAAATTACAATAGTACTAATACATTGTGCATATAATAGATATGGGCGTGCCCTGATTACATAAGTGCAACACATTTCTCCCCTTGCAATCACTACAACAGATGACACAAATTAGGACTGGGCTATGGGTACTATACAAGATCATTGTTTTATGGAGCAAGTGCAAAAGATGCGCAATACTACAAATGACAAGGCACAACATGTTTAGTTTTTCGACCAAGATAACAGGGACCCATAGTTCATGGCAGGAACCATACCCGTGAGGAACGAACAGACTAGTGGAGATCGCGGGCACCATCACAGTGTCATTTTTTCATGTGGCTAGCCATGAGAAATAGGTGTTTGAAAGGAAATTTGTAATTTCCAAACGTTTAAGATCTTGTGATTAGATCCGAACGCTTCGGCCGTTGCCCGATCCACATCCCGAGCGCTGCGTTCGCTCGTTTTTTTTTCTCTGCTCGCTCACGCTCGTGCTATCGATCCCGATTTTCCCGTCCCAATTTTCTTCGCACGATCTTGTCGGATAGTTTCCTCTTTTTTTTTGCACGACCCGATGCGGCTTGATCGCTAGTTTTCTCCCTATTTTTTTGGAACAAATCGATCCCCTAACCTGATTCGTACATCACATCCCATAACCTCATCCTAATAGCCAACACCTCTCTATTAATTTCCTACACTTTGAAAATGGCATCATACTATTTAACCATCGAAAATCTCATTTGGTGCATCATTTTATTTTTTAAACGAAATTGAACGCACGCTGCGCCGTTTGTTTTTGAATCATGTTGTCAAACGCCCCCGCACATCTTTCGCCGGCATGCGTGTCACCTGTCAGTTTGCTATTCCAATATGTGTAATAATCATGGTAATTTATAGA